TTGAAGGTCTTTTAGTGAACGAAAGTTCGGTCTGAAAATTCGGGCAAAGTGTCGCAGGACTTTCCGTCCAACCTAATAGAAGCGGAGGGGTGTCACAAGCCTTCTCCTGTACTGCATTTTTTTAAAGTTTCCTAACATTGGCTGGCTTTTACTGCTTGAATGCGGGCAGGGGACGGTGCTAACGTGGGGGTAGGGGAGGAGCACTCGTCAGTGCCTCGGGCTTAGTGGAGACTACTATGTCTTCTCTGCTTGAGAATCTATCACCCGGCTCTAGTTGGGGAGGAGAGTTACCCTCAATCAAGGCCGAGCGGAAGGAGTTCCAGAACGGGTGGAATGACTTTTCTGCGCAAAAAGGAATACCAACAGTGGATCTCACCTCCCACAAACCCTTTCGATACAAGAATTGTTGTAAATCGGTTTTTTGACTTGGTTTTGAGTGCCGTTTGGAGTTGGCGCCCAAAACTCCAAACGATGAGAATAGTGCCAAAGCCTTCTGAGCTACAAAAGCCGCGAACCAGGGCACATCATTGGTTGGGATTTTGGTCGGAGTAGGGAACCAGAAAGGGGGAGAGGTCCGTACGACTCCCCCCCCCCACTGGTTCCCTCTTCCTCACCGAGTTGTCGAGCGGGAAGGGTGAGGGGGTTATATTACACATGAAACAGGGAAAGCCTAGCAACTTCTCAGAAGGTCAAAAGGCAAATGTGACTCCCTACTGTCCCTGAAGCAAGAGAAATTATCAAAAAAATTCCTTCAGCCCAAATAGGACTCCTTCACCGCGGCCAATACAACCCTCCTGCTGGATAGTCCCCAACGACGATGCGCCCCGTCGCGAGGGCATTCACGATTTTGAATTTTTGCGCGTGTTTCACGTTTTGCCGCAAATGCACGATTAGCACTCAACTCAACGACTACGGCCTTTACTAATCTCCTCGCGGTTTCATTTCTAGTCTCGCTACAAAGGTTTATGTTTTGTCGTCGGGTTTTTTATTTGTCGTTCGTTTTTCTCAAGCAAATAGTTTTACATGGTCTTGCAAGTTATCCAGACTTCTTCGTGACAAAGTGGTTTGAACGGATCGGGTCTTTTTTGCGTATCATCACAGCGCGGTTACATCTCCTGCTCGACTTCTTGCTTAGTGAATCTCCAAGTAGTCTCTTTTTGCAAGGAACAATCGCAGACGATCTCGTTTCAGCAATCCGCCTAGAGCTACCCTGTTTTCCGGGGTACAAGCCGCGTTTCCACTTGAAGCGCTACCCGCAAAAACTAATTTTTTTTGCTGTTTTTCATTTTTTCTTGCTCGGTCTTTGTGCTGTCTTATTTTTCTCCTTAGTTCAGACCACCAGGCGGGGAGAAATAGAGTTTTTAATGGCTTTTGGAAGAACTTAGCTCCTTTAAAATGATTGTTCAGGGCTGTAGAAGTGATTATGAAGTTCCGATTTCTTTATAGACGCCTGATGTTGGGATCCGCTCGTGACTCATGTCCATCTACGAGTAGTGAGGAGTAAGGCATTCTATCTGGTGCTCACGTATGTGAGGGGAACACTCAGTCGCGCCTAGGGTATCCCTTCTCCAAAAAGGCTTGAGCTCAGAGAGCAGACGACTTGAGTCATCTACCAGAGTAAAGGATATGGAGGCGCTGGCGAAAGCCCCCCTCAACTACGTTAGCGCCTAATGTCCTGCAAAAACTTTCTGTTGTTTTGTGCTGCATCTATCATTTGCTCATCAGTTCTCTTGCAATGCTAGGCGCACTACGGCGACGGGAGTGGGGGCATTTTTACATACAACTTTAACTGATATCACTTCATGGCTTCACAAGATTCCCCAAATCTCTATTTAGTGGCTCAACATGATAATAGGAAGCAGGGGAAGTGCAAAATCCTCCCCCTCTCCCGTCGCCGAAGTTCCCTCGATGGTATATTGATTTCTAGGATTTTTGCCTATTTTTCTATTGGAGACGCTTCAGGAACTGCCGTAGATGTGACGACCTAAGCAAAAGATCTCGGAAGAGGTCAGCTCTCAGTCAGCTCTTAAATGGCGTAAAATTCATGTCCTTACCTCTCCTCAAGCGACTATAAACTGTTAAAAACCTCCCGTCATCTTTTTTTGCGTCGTTGTCAATTCGATGAGGAAATCTTTGATCTTTGTCATTCATTCTTCCTTACAGAATATGGACGACGACGCTTCGTCAGTAAACGGACAAGCATCCCCACCGGGTTCTGTGTCACCATTTGTCGGGGCATCACCAGATGATCAAGAAGTTTCATCGCCAAAAGGATCTACGGATGGACGATCCCCACAGGATGAAGATTTCCAAAGGGTTTTGTCCCCGAGAGACGATAGTCCCGCCGCTTCTCCTTCCCATGCGTCCGCGTCCGCATCAGCAGCGTCATCGCCAGCCTACAGGGAACAGGACGAGTGAGTGTTATTCTACTTTCAATTTTTCTTCCATTTTTTCGGAATTTGCTCTCTTGGGACCTTAATCAGGTCCGACTGTCGTGCAAAAAAAAGAGGCCCGAATTTTCACTACAGAGAAACTCCAGTGGTTGGAAAAATTATGTCCTCTTGAAATCCTTCGATGGCATCATTTCCTCCCTTGCGTGAAGTGCACCGATGGTTACTCTAAATAAAGGAGACCTACCGTATGGGATTTTCCATTAGTTTGGGGCAACTCCCCAAAAGGGTAGCTTTACTGAGTTTCTATGGCCGCGGATCCTGACAGTTATGTAGTCCTATATCCATTCAATGTAAGGCTGCGTTAATATTTTGCGTCCGCGTTTTGCGCGACTAGTAAAGTATAGGCTGATCTAGCGTTTTGAGCGTGCGCCCACGTTTTCAGCGAGTGCCCGCGAAAAGCTGAAAACTACCCGCGAAATGCTCAAACGCTTCCGAGAAGCTCTGAATGCTGCCGTACGCTCGAAATGATCAAACGCTGTCCCGAGGTATGACTGCTGCCTAAGCCATTTAAATGAGACGAAATAGTCGCAGGGGAAATTGCTAGGACCTTTGGATTTTTTTAAGAAGTCTTTGAAGTTTTTCTGTCAGTTTCTAGTACCACTTTACGGTAAGTAAGACTTATCTGTTCAAATTATTTCGGCACTGTTCACCCTTTACTGCCCCAGTCATCCGAAATCCGGCCAGTTCTTGACCGACTTTTTTCTCCGTGAGCGGAATTGGCTAAAAATTTTCTCCTGGGGTAGTTTGACCTCCTGAATATGAATATCACATCCGCTCGGCACGAAACCTCCTGGCGCCCGCGCCACAGGCGCCGGCGCCAAAATACCCTAAATCACCAAATTCGCTGAAAACTTGTCTCAAGGGGTAGTTTGACCTCCTGAACACGAATATAACATCCGCTTGGCACGGAACCTCCTGGCGCTCGCGCCACAGACATCGGCGCCAAAACGCCTCAAATCACCGGCGCCTGTGGCGCGGGCGCCAGAAGGTTTCGTGCAGAGCGGATGTGATATTCAGATTCAGAAGGTCAAACTACCCTAGGAGACAAGTTTTTAGCCAATTCCGCTCACGGATTAAAAGTCAGTCAAGAATTGACCGGATTTCGGATGATTGGGGCAGTGAAGGGTAAATAGTGCCATTATTTCTGTAGATCAATCGATATTCGTGTGTAGACTGCCTTATTGGCCAAATTTCAGCTCAGGAGATGAGTTCAATGCCGACAGTCCAAATGTTCCTGGTTCCCCAGAAGCCGATTTCACCACTGGAAATGGTGATCAAACTGAGGCATATGAACCGAAATCCCCGAGTTCTCCTGTCCAAAAGGAAGGTCTCCCGTCGTCACCACCTCCGTCATCGCCACAGCATGAGCAGAGCCCTCCTTCAAAATCACCACAACAAGACGGAAATGAAAGTGACGAGCAGAAAAGGTGCGTTATCTCTCGTGGTCAGTCATTACGGTAAAGGGTCCAATGACGTTTTTGATTTTAGCCCTAAAGAAGCGGACGTGAAATCAGATCGAGAAGAAGGCACCCCGGAACGTCCAAAGAGTGCTGCTTCAAGCGACGAAGGTCTGCCTTATCTCTTTCTCTGAGACTTTTCATTTATCAAGTAATCGCTGCGCCATTGAACTGTCAACTTTTCTAGGTGAAAGTAAAGTACGAAAGAGACGTGTAATCGATTCAGATGATAGTGATAACGAAAATGACAACGATAACGAGGAGACTTCTAGGTCCCAAGTATGGTAACAGCAGTGGTGACTTCTTTTCACTGTTGTTCATTTGTGCTATTTTTAGAAAAAATCTTCTCGATTCCGATGATTCTGACGACGATGAAATGGATGAAGAACAGAGGAAGAAGAAGGTGGGATTTTCTGAAGGATTCCAATTTATCATTTTTCGCTGAATGTGAGATCAGACCGCGTTCATACTACATTAGGTATTGATCTGACAAGTGCGGTGATTGTGCGGTCCGGCGATGTAGGCGTCTCGGCGTTTCATGGCCAAGGGAGTGGATGATTGTCGATCGGCGCCCGACTTATTGAGGATATCCTGCGATTCAAGAGATTAAGCGATCTCGCGTTTTGGAATAAGGCAGGATCGCCGGATCGCTTAATCTCTTAAATGGCTAGCGACCGGTGACCTGCAATCGTCAGGAATGCCGAGCTCTCAAATTGTCGAATCGCTCAGTCTCCGCAGTCGCCAGATCGATACCTATTCTTTTCTCTTCGCGCAATCAGAAATCACCAAGTCTCCCAAAAGCCCTGTATCCCCAGCGCAGAGCACGAACGCTGCCTTGATGGAAAACTCTTTGGCGCTGTTCTCTCTTTACTGGTAAACTTTGTGAAAATCATGTCACTTTTTGATCAGTGTTTTCTCTAGGGATACAGTTGCCCATGAATTTGTCCCTGGGTAATCTTACCTCTTGAACACACCTCACACCCGCTTAAGAAAAAAATGTCTTTTTTTTTTCGAAATTTCTCTCTTCAGCTTGGTAAACTGATTGTAAATATATTCGGTGAGGATATTGAAGAAGATGGAGAAGGAGGACGTGATGATGACGATGGAGAGCAAGAAGAAAGACATAGGGAAGAGGCTAACCAAGAAGATGAAGACGATTATGTTCAAGATAGACATAAGGATGACGGCAGAGATAGAGCGTAAGTCCCTTCAACAACTCTTTTGGCGGGTGACTCTGCAAATAGACGAATCAGATGCGTTCGTATTTGGGTCAGCGTCTTGGGTGACTGCTCGTTTTGAGCGTATGGCAGTGTTTTGGGTGACTGCTCGTCAATTTTAAAACTACCTGCCAAGCGCTGGCACGCGGTCAAAACACTCGATCGATATTTACACTTTTTTGGTCGCTCGAAAGGCTGATATCCGCTCAAAACGCTGACGTAATGTATGAACGCAACCTCAGAGTTCTGTTCATATCTGGCGCATTGGAAAATCGTGTTCGAAAAAGATGGGATACCCCTGGTTTTGTTAATTACGCCCTTCCACTCCGAAGTGTACAAAAGGAGTCCTGCAGTGGAAAAGGGTTGAAGTCTTTCATTCGCTTGCTGCTTATGTACTTGGGCGGGGTTCGTACGTATCTGATTCTTTTCACGGATCGTGCCATTTTGTGACTCTCCAGAGGCGCAACGTATACGCTTCTCCTGTAACTTTTTAGGAAACCCCTCACGTAAAGCTTGCTGCGGTTTGCTTGGCTCGGAGCGATGACGTTAAGCTCGCACTGCTTTTCTAGTTGACCCAAACCTCACGGAATACCTTCCCCCGTTTAAACTTACGTGCATTCAGGGGATTTGAATGGGATTTCGACCTGATGTTGCGGGAAAAGAAAGCAGAAAGAAAGAAGAAGAGGAAGCGACGCGGTGATGGGATTGATATAATCAACGATGATGATGGGATTATTGCCCATATGGTAAATGCTATGAAGAATGCCGCCAAGGTAATCCTGTCCTTTTCACTGCTCTTCT